GTAGGGGTAGGCGGAGGAGCAGGTCCGCCAAGGGTAGGGGCAAGGAGCAGTCCTCGACTAGCTCCCAGCCTTTTCGCTGGGCTGGAGGTCTGCCCCAACCTCCCGCTAACCCATCAGGCTGTCGCCAAGCCGTGTCACGCCCAGTCAGCTCCGCTGCTCGGGACAACGCGACGCCAGCTTCCTACCCCATATCCCAGTGGGAGGTCGCTTCTCTCTATTCCTGCCGGAATGGGAGAAGGCTACCAACAATGCTTGGGTGCTGGCCACCGCCAGCATCGGCCATTTACCACTGTGGAAGCGAGGTCCGCCTCGACTTCACCGCATATACCGCGACTCCGTGCCGCCATGTCAGGCAAGGGCGGACATATTGCGCGACGGTTCAGGCTCTGCTGGACAAGTCCGCAATCGAAATGCGATTCCACCGGGAGAGGAACAGGCGGGATTTTACTCCACGCATTCCTCGTCTCCGAAGAAAGACGGCGGGTTCCGGCCCCATTCTCAACCTCAAGGGGTTGAACCGCGATGCTAGAAGTACCATCCTTCAAGATGGAGACACTGCGCCGGTGATCTCATCTGTTCAGCCCGGCGATTGGCTCACGCCAATCGACCTAAAGGATGCGATTCGCATGTGCCCATACATCCATCGCTCAAGCAGTACCTTCGGTTCTCTTTACGACGGGATGTGTTACCAATTCAGGGTGCTCCCTTCGCATATCGACTGCCCCAAGGGTGTTCACCAAGCTCATGTTAGTCCCAGCTACCCTCGCCGCTGCGCTCGCAAGGAAGGCGCTAGTTACCCTTACCTCGACGACTGGTTGCTCGAGCACTAACACAGCCAGCGAAGTCTAGATGCTACTCACACAGTGATAGACATTCTAACTCGACTGGGGTGGATAATCAACCTCAAGAAATCCGACCTGGTACCCACCCAGGACTTGGTTTTTCTTGGAGCGCGATTCCAAACAAACAAGGATCTCGCTTCCTTGTCGCCCGACGGATCACCAGAGTTCGAGATGGTATCTTCGCTCCTCTCCCAGCCCCAGGCACCAGCACGGACTTGGCTCCGCCTACTGGGCCATATGGCGGCGACGATCTCTGTCGTGGTGGCGGGCGCTGCTGAGGATGCGCTATACAGCAAGCTTTGGCTCGGCTGTGGGCTCACACGGAGGATCTGGAGCGCAGTCTCACAGTCCCCGAAAGTGGTTGACACCTCACCTTCAGTGGTGGACAAATGTCGGAATCTCACCAGGGGATCCCCTTGGAAATCCCGACGCCAGCTCTCACAGTTCAGACCGGCGCGCCCCTCACGGGCTGGGGTGTTCTGGGCAGTCTGTCGGCGTCCGACTCTGGTCCGAAGCCGGCCCACCTTCACATCAACGTGTTGGAACTGAGAGCTGTGCGGTTGGTTTTCGAAGCGCCAGAGAGAGCATGTCCGCGGGCCAGGTAGTCCGCCTTCAGTTGGACAACCAGACGGCCATGTCGCATATCCTGAAGCAGGGCGGCACGGTGTCCCCAGCGCCCCGGGAGGCGGGGACTTTCTCCTCTGGTGCCACCAGTGCGATTGTCAGGTACTCCCTGTTTATCTCCCGGGCTGGAGAACGGCGAGCAGATGCGCCTTCTCGCCGATCCTGGCCCCGCACGAGTGGATGCTCGACAGGCAGATTTTCAGAGTAATCTCCCAGTTGTACGGGTCGCTCCAGGTGGATCTGTTTGCGCCCGGCGGGACGATCAGACACCCGTGTTCTGCTCTCAATACCGACCCAGGGCGCTGGCTGCCGACGCCTTCCTGCTGGATTGACGGGCAAAGTGCTCTGGCTGCCCCGCCGCTACCACTCATTCCCCGTGGTCCTTTCACAGCTGTCCACCCAGCCAGCTCGGCTGCTTGTGCTACTGGCACCGCTTTGGCCGCCACAGAGCTGGTTTCCGTAATTCTCAGGTTTCTGGCTCAGCCTCCTGTTCTATTACCTTTACGACCGACATTCTCACTCAGAACGGAGCTTCCACCCAAATCCACGGATTCAGTGGGTGGCTTGGCCTCTGTCAGGTCTAGCCTCGAGGCACGCTGGAATTCCTGCAGCAGTTGCAGACACAATTCTGGCTTCGAGGCGGATTCGGCAAACGCTCAGTATGAGGATAGGTGGTCCCGCTTATGCGCGCTGGTGTTCAGATAGGGGATTGCAGATCCCTTTTCTGCGGATTTAGTCCGAGTATTGGAGTTTTTGCAAGCTCGCTTTGGAAGAAGGCCTGGCGGCTTCGACCCATTCGCGGGCTACTCCACCGCTATTTCCACTTTTCACACCCCTGTCGATGGTGCTCTTCTGGGGCAGCACCTCTCGCATAGCTTTTTTGCTGGCGCTGAACGGATTCGACCTGCTCTCAGGCTTAACCAGTCCACCTTTGGGATTTGTCAATCGTGCTCGATTGGCTGTCCGGTCCAACTTTCTCACACCTATCGGCTATTTCCATTCAGTTGTTAACTTGGAAGGCTGTTTTTCTGGTGGCGGTAACATCTGGACGTAGGGTCGGCGATTTACATGCTATGTCGTCCGACCCGGGCGCTGACTGTGTTTCACACTGATCGTGTCAGCATTCGGCCCCCGGATACTTACCGCCGGGTCGATCACGCTTCCATGTGACAGCTCCTATCGAACTTCCCACTCTTACCCAGCCTTCCACATCGGGACCACTCCTACGAAAGCACTCACCCGCTGGATGTCCGTAAGACGCCAAAGTCTATATCAAACTAACGCAGGGAACTGCACGGGTACCCAGCTGTTCTGTTGTTACGGTGGCGGAAGGCTGGTCTGCCAGCGAGCAAGCAGACTTTGTCTCGCTGGCTAGTTTCGTGTATTTGTGCCGCTTATCAGGCTAAGGGCAAGCCTCCCCCTGAGGGGTTGAAGGCTCACTCGGTCAGGGCAGTAGCCGCATCAAAAGCTTTTGCATCGGCACTCCCCATTGAAGAGATCTGCTCTGCCGCTATTTGGAGCCGGCCAAGCACGTTTATACGGCACTACCAGCTCGATACACATTCCCGTAATCGTGCGAGCTTTGGCCGTTCTGTTCTCTCCAGTGGACAGTGTCCTGCCACCCTGACCGAGTGAGTCTTGGTTTATTGGTTTGTTTATTGACGCTGCTGTACAATAATTGTGTATTATTGACATGTCTGCTACTGTGAGTTAAACTACCCCCTTTCGATTCTCTCAGGAGTAATTAGTCGATTGAGCGGTATTGACATTCCCCCCTACGGTGCTCACTAATCGACACTAGGTGGGTGGGGTTTTGTTGACATTCGTACATGTGCGATTGCCTATGCTAAACGTATGGAGGTCGTCTTTGAGCACAAATCCTCCCTGTCAGTTCCCCTCCCATAATGCCTCTCGCGGAAGCTCAACTGGGACAAGTGACAGGTGAGTGTTATGGCGCCTGTTCAATTTTTTTCCATGATAATGATCGCTATATTTTGTGTGTGCTTGGACAGAATTCCTCCTCCCTGGCCTCCGGTCTTTGGGAGTCTGTGTTTATGCATAATATGTACCCCAAGGACGATCTCTATGAAGAAGAATTAACCAAACCTGAAGAGGTTTTCAATTCTTCAAGAGAGTCGCCCTTGGGTAGGGCCTCCCCCTCCCCGCAATTCTGTTCACTGATATATTCAGCAGAAGGAATGATGATACGGGTCTAGGAGCTTACCCAGTTGGTGCGCATGCTAACGGGAGGTAACTCCGCGAGGTAGGGGCCATATATAAAATAAAAGAGTTTATTTATTGTACAATCTTTTATTCAAAAACATTGATACAACTGTCACAGGACATTTTCAGCTTGGAAAATGCATAATATGTACCTCTCTTCGAAAACCTCTTCTTTGAAGAATTGAAAACCTATCTTCAGGTTTGGTTAACTATGTTATTTAACAGTGACGCTGGTCTTGTATGTTCTCATAAGGACCAGTAATATTACCGTATACATGTGGTCTCGTGCTCTTTTAGGGATCAATAAAAAATACATGTTTGTAAGACAGGACAAGTGCAATACAGGCTTATTAATATATGGACGTGGAGCACCAAGGTTGTTACATGTTAGGTTTAAGAAATCGCACATGCTTTTTCATGCCAAGAAATTCAAATCGTGCAAGACTGTTAATGACATCGATGTTGTTTGTAGATGATAATAAGTGAATGAACTTATCAAATGATGGTTAGGTAGTGTAATATACTGGTAAAATGGAGTTGCTAAGAGTATCATAAAATGGACAGACCATGCAAAAGAGGTATTCACATTCTACACAAGGAATGATACATAATGGACATAATCTTTCGTGACGAGGAATGTTTAACTTTCTTCCTTCTTCAAATTCAAGTAGTAAACTATGGTAAGAACAGTGAAATTTTCATAGTGCTATACAATGTGTCGGCTCCTCAACAAGGGATAAGTATTCTTCAAATTTAAAACATAATTTGATGCTAGAATATAATGCAAGTTTAGAATATAATCCAATCTGTTCCATCCATGTTTGTCGATCAGTGGCTATGCATCTTTCTGAACAAAGATATAAATTCCTGTGTGGTAAAATTGTTGCTCTCTTGGATGCTTTATCATTCTAATTACACACACATATCGTATGAACATGATAAAGTACAAATAAATTTGGCCAGTGTCAAACACTGTTATGCTGCCATCTGGAACCTACATATTAGTATATCTTTTCACAGTCTGATTTTCCTATTTTCTTAAGACAGTTGCTGGCTGCTTGCTATTTTGAAACACGTCTAAGCAAGCTGAAGAGCTAGATGTGGATTAGTGTAACTATTCTCTTGAACACTGGTTGACAATTATGTTCACCTGCAAATTCATAGAAGCTGAATGTGATTATCTTGAAACATAATGTTTTAGCTCTCCAGCTAATCTTAAGGCATTGGGGTGAAGGACAGTTGATTTGATGATGAGGAAATATTGATTTGTTGAAATGACATCAAATACAACAATTTGTTATTCTGTTTCAGTGTTGCCGCAACTGCCGTTGCCAACACCCCTTCCGCAGACTATGCATAACAAAAGTTTGTTGTATAGTTCCACGATTGCAGACGATGCAAAGAGAATTATCTCAGTGCGGAGTGAGGGGTTGGCAAAGCAACTGGCACAAGCTCTACGGCAGACTTCAACAAACCATATGTAAGTTTTGCATTATTGTAGGAATGTTTGTGTGGCAAACCAAACTTTAACTGTGTAACTGATGAAAGACCAGAATTCATTTATCTTGATGAATACTTTAAAGCTTGTGGAAATATGATAAATTATAAAGAACAATTTAATATTGCTTGATTGCTTTGTTGATACTAATATTTGTTTAATTTGGTTTCATCAATCAATTTCAGAGAGTTGAAGGACACCTTGGTGGGGGGACTCTATAGAGGGAGATGTGCCACCTTTATTAAAAGCTGTCTTTCTAAACGATCCTCAGGTCTTTTGTGGGAGAAATCTCTATGATGGTAAGATGTTTCAGGCATTTGAAGACATGAATATGTATTGTCTGTCAGTAAATGATGTTCTCCTTTTTCACCTACAGCATTTGATAGATCTATATCTAACTCATTAGTAGAATATCATATGTGAAAGATATTGTGCCTATGATAGCAGACATGAGCATTGAATGGTGTTGTCAACTATGATTTGTGCAGACTTCTTCAGATATTTTTACTTTGCATTTATATATTTTCTTTTGTTTCAGGGGTGAATACTAACTTGTCACAGGATTTGCAACAGCATGGACAAAATTTTGTACAGTCATCTCAATACTCGTCATCTTCATCTCGTGTTAGTCAACAAAATGATACATCAAGGTGAACTCTTCTATAATGTATTATACTCTTCCATGCAGTAAACAGGAAAAATAAATATTAGCAACACTTTTGATCCTTGGGGAAAACAGACAAGTTCTGTCTTACACACTTAGAAAACATTCTCAGTAACAGTTATTGTTTGGATGAATTATATAAGTAATGTATCCAATTTGATGATGAGCATGATCAAATAATGAACAAAAGTTTTCCTTGGCTTCTTGAAGAAATATTCAATCTTATTCACTAAACTAACATATTCACATGTAGAAAATGGTTTATTTGTGTTATGGTTTTACAGTCACTTCATATGATATGATGATAATTAATTAGAATTATTTCTTTGCAGAATTTCAAATTCCCAATCATCACGGTTTTCAAATCAGAATCAGAATAATTCATATTCACCAAGTAACTCCAGCCATTTTCAACAAGAGTTCAACTCATTTTCAAGAAACTCATATTCAAATTCAGGTAGGTCTACTTTTTGTCCCCGCCGCAACGCGGAACGGGGGACTATGTATTCAGCTGCATCCATATGTTTGTATGTCTCATGAATTTTTGTACCAAGTGTCTTAAAATTTGGTGACAGCCTACATTGGGGGATTACCCAGACACCAGTCAATTTGGGTGACCTTGACCATATATTCACCTTACCGCTTTCTAAACTCTTGTTAATGCGATATATCTTATGCACTGTTTTACCCAATATGTTCAGATTTGGTGACAACCTACATTGGATCATTACTCTGACACCAGTCGATTTGGGTGACCTTGACTTTATCTTCAAGGTCACATTCACACTTTGACCACTTTTCAAACTTATGTAAACACGATATCTCATAAAACGTTGCACCCAGTGTCTTCAATTATGTCGACAGCCTGCATTGAGTGATTACTAAGATATCAGATATTAAAAGGTTGTGTTGTCTTTGAAGATTTAGACATAATTTACAGTCACCTGTCACATGGTTAAGATATTGGAAAATTCGAAATTTTAGCCTCCAAGCTGAAGAATATATTGGCATTTCTTACAAATTTGATGTCAGTCATTAACATAACTGGTATCAGGTTAGGGTAATAGGGGCCGGGGTACCCGGGTAGAAAATTTGGACCTGTCCCAGCCATAATACATACTGACACTGACAGTGGATATATGCATGTGCATCTATACATTCAAATCTACTATATTCCTGAAATATCTTCAGAGTTAGGAGAAGGAGAAGATTCTGACAAGTGACCATGACTAAAAACTTTATTGACCAAAAGATGAAAACTAGTAAATATGATATATTTAATTCTTCTTTATCGGTGGGGTAGCCTTGTGGTTAAAGAGTTCCCTTGTCATGCCTAAAACCCGGGTTTGATTCCCTACATAGGTACCATGTGTGAAGCCCATTTCTGGCCCCAGCTGTGATATTGCTGGAATATTGCTAAAAGTGGCATAAAACACAACTCACTCTTTTGTGGCGGGACATTGCCAAACACTTGTGTTTCATTATTATGAAAACATATTTTCATTTTAAGTTTTAAATGGAAAATCCTATTATTTAGTGCAAGAAACAATTTGATAAATGCTATTTGGAAATTTTTGTCTTCCAGCAACAATTAATGGGGACTGTTATCTTTCTGATGGTCCACTTCATCCTGCTGATCCACATAGGGGACGAATAAACCACAAAGAACAAAACAAGATGACAGGTTGTATTTCATAGATTATGCACACAGGTTTAGATCAACTGTGGTTTCATTCTATTTGAGAAGGCAGCCTTATTGAACTGATGTTTAACTCTTGACTCTGATTTTCCTGTTTGTATCATCCACAAATTTTGTATGTTGTCTTGTAGTATATGTTGTAACAAGTACTCAGGGACAAACATGTTAAGTTTCTGTCTTTTTCTGATGTCTTGCCTGTTGACTGTATGTCCCAAAAATTCTTTAGTGTGTATTTTGATTTTGGCTTCTTTAACCTTTGATGTTGGGTATAAATCTGTTAAATATGTCCATAGGTCTGAAGGATAATACAGTAATGGATGTAATTGGTAGTGTGCTTTATCAAATAAGAACAAAAATATGAAAAACAGCAAAAAAATAAATAAGAAATCTTATTGGGTTAATAGTGAACTTTTTATGTTTTAGCTTTTCAATTTATGACCTGATATGATACTTCAAGAATCTTTCTGTTGCAATGAAACAGGGCCCCATTTCATAAAATTAATGTGATAATTGATCTTTAATCTGGTTTATTTGTATTTTGTTTCAGTCTCATCCCCTGCTCAAGCAACCTCAGCAGACAGACTTACCAGCCAGCAAGTTACACAGCAACCTTCATCGTCAGTGCCAATTACAAATATGGACAGTGATTTAACACGTTCTAATCGGAGACGCTCTTCGAGCAGACATTGTGAACCTTCTGTTTCTTTAGATGACATAGAACCAAGTATAATGTCATCATCACGGACATCAATAAATAAGGATGGTGATTCTAGGTTGCAGAAAAAGACATCCGGAAAAAATGAACCAGTTGTGCTTCTTGAAATGCTTGATATGAAAGTATGTATAGCGTTTCTCAGTCCATTATCACATAGTTCCAATGTACTTCACTATTCACTTCATGAACCTTCTCTGTCCACACATAACTGATTTCTTGCCTCATTGTTTCTTTAATGATTATTTAATGTCACTCCATACTGTAATTTTATGTCAGATTTTAAGAAAGAGAAGTAATTGTTGTAAGTTGTCACTTATTGACAATGGTAAGTTTGAAGATGTTATGAAACCACCTTATGCGAAATGTGCTATTCATAGAGAAATTGTCCTGTGTAAATTTTATATTGTACTGTGTCGAACTTATTTCAGAGAAACTTAAGAAGTAGAGGGAAAAAAACAAATCCAAGAAAATCTGTAACTCAGAAAAAGGCAAACAGGAAGAAAGCTGTTAAATTTGAAGAAACCATTGTTCAGAAAAAAGAGAATATGAAACAAGAAAGAGAAATTGAAAACAATTTAGTGATGGTATATTGTTAGAATGTTGATATTCTCTACTTTTTATTGAATTTTCTTTACAAGTTTTAGACATTTCTGTTGGTTTCAAAGATAGATATCTGCTGTTCGTTTAAGGTTTCAAGCAGATAAAGTTCTTGCTTTGTTTTCATAATAATGTTTCATTACGTTTGCACATATTTAATATTTTATTACTGTTATTTAACAGTTCTGATTGCACTGTTGCCAAACAAACCCTGGAAATATTCTGAAAGACATGTCTGTGATATTAAATGCAGTTGTAATTACTGCCTTGACATTTTTTCTTCATCACTGGTTGCTTACTGTTAACAAATTGTCAATATGGGTATTATGAACATCTTTGGATGCTAACTGATGATGTTTTCAGGAGATATTTCAAGTGTTTTGACATTGTTTTGAAACCTGGTGATGCTGTTCCTTCTGGTTTATATGTATGACATTATACAATTATAGACTCTTGTAGAGGTCGATATTGGTTTTTATTGACCTGAGTAAAACAATATCGACCGAGCTTGCGAGGTCAATATTGTTTTTCTCAGGTCAATGAAAACCGATATCGACCTCTACAAGAGTCTATAATTGTTTTATTATATAATGAAAGAGAAACAGGTTTTAACATAAACTTTTAATGCACACACTGTGCCATCTATCCGAGTGATCTGATTGGCTGAAAAGCGGGGGAAGCCCCTTCGTACGGGATTCCGTGTCTATTTTTAGTAACCCAAGTCAATATCGTAATTTATCAGAAAACTCAAGTCAATATCGTGTTTTGTAGTCAATCATGTGACGGTCTTTTGACCAATCGTGGTACAGGAAAAATACTACCTATATAATAAACACATTTCTAGGTTTGAGGATTTATATTTTAGAAATTGAAGATGGACACCATTATTCAAGGGATACATGTCATTGAACAGATGCTTCATAGTTTGTTAATTAAAATGAATTTAGTTAACACTTTGCTCACATTTCCATATGCAGTCTGTTGAATTTTCTAAAACAAACTGATACATGTATTTCATAAGGTGTTGTGTTAATATTTACTATTTCAAAATGGTATTTTCAGACATTACAGTCCATAGCCACAGGGGGATCAGGTTAGTACATGCTATCTTATTCACATTGTAGCAAGCATAGTTTTAAACAATACCTTTCATCATATAATGTGATAGTAGGCAATTCACATTTCATATCATTGACTCTTCATTTCATTTCAATTAGCATTTGTCTTTGTCATGGTTTTGCACTGACATGCAGTTGTGAGATTTCTCTTTTCACTAACAGTTCACACTTGAATTTTTTCTTCATTATAATTTGACATTATGTAAACTTTCATACAAATGTTGGAAACAGTTGCAGATGATACACCTATTAATGGAAAGCCTGATGATAGTGGTCCTCAAGGTGAAATAGATAACACTTGTTTGAATTTGATTACATCAATCACTTTGTTCTTTTCTGCAACTTTCATATGTTTTATTGCACAGCAAAGTTACCAATGGAAATGGGCTGTTTATGAGTTGTTTCTGTTGATCATTTCTTCTGTTTTGAGTTTGATTAATATTCACAGTACCCAATTATCAGCAGTTTGATCATCAGCTGACTTAATATTTTAGTCATTATTTACTAGTATATGATATAATGGTGTTTCTGGTTGAACTGAATTGTAGTGTCACTAATATGAGTTTTCTTTTCCTGTTGTAAATTTCATCTCTTCAAATTTGTTAGGCAGATTATCAATGTGTTTTCAATGGTCACTATTAATTTGTATGTTAACTGTTATCAGGTATCTGTAGATAATATATTTCAAGTGATACACTGTGATTGGGCACTGTTAAATCATTTGAATCACTTGTTTAGATATTTGTCTTCAATTGCCTTATTCATTAAGCATTTGGGAACAGATATATTGTTGAATATATTGGCTTCTGTAAGCTTTAACCATGCATGTCTGTTTCACTCAACGAACTTGTAATAGAAAGATTATTTCTGTATTTTTGGTTATTCTTTCGGAACAGAATGAACAGTTTGGTTATTCTTTTGGAACAGAATGAACAGTAGGCATGATGTTTTAAGTATTTTGCATGGGCTGATGACAGATTTCTATAAAGTTATTACTTATCAGATCAAAAACTTCCCAAACAGTTTGTATCAATTAAACTTCTGCTGATTCCTTAATTAATTTTATTACCGAAGTTCATTTTATGTCCCCAGCTGATATTAATATGTGATCAAACTTATGATTGACTTAAATGGTAACAAGCATGGCTTAAAAATATTGTGCATTTGATTTATGCGTAATGAAAATTGACAAGTTCTAATTTTGAATTTCAGTCAAAGCAGTGGCAGATTCAGATTCTCGGAAAAGACGGAAAAATATGACACGAGATGCAGATGGATTACACTTTAATGTTTCTCGTTCAAATGATGAGAGGGGATTTTCAGCACGATTGTCTCATCATCGGAGAGGCGGGGAGGATGAACGACAAAGAGGTACTTATTTCAATTCAGTGTTAATGCTCTTTTTACAACTGTTTTAAGAGTGGTCCTTTGGTTTATTTGATGTTTTGCTGCTTGTATTTGAATGTAGCATACACCTGAATTATTCATTCTTACCAGGAGGCTTATGACAAGGACACCTTGACTTTCAGGCATACTTTGTAACACTGTTACTCAGCCTTGTTACTCAATCCTTAAAATGTCCAAGATTTAAACTGATGAAGAAAGAAAGAATGAATATGAATGAATGAATGAATGAATGAATGATTGAATGAAAGAGAATCGAACATGTTCATACCTGAGTCATAGTTTAGTGTTCATTACAAGAGGTGAATATTTGGGGAAGTTGACCTATGCAAGAAGTTTTAAGCCACTTTTTTGGTGATACATACGCAGTGAAAATACCATTGCCATGATATGGTGAGTGCCTTCAAATTCTGATTTGCATCCTAACAAAACTAACATTTGCTAACATGTCCACTGTGTTCTTGGACCAGCAAAAGTTATTTCAAGTTAATGGAATTAACCTTGAGTTTTGTTAGATAAACTCTGATGGAGATTTTGAAAGAATATTAAGAACCTATTAAAGTAAGGTGTATTTTGGGTGAAAGGAAATTAAAAATTTATGTCAAACAGTATCTTGTCATTTTTGATAGTGAAGTTGAGTGTAACTGTTTCTATTTAACATCCTCAATGTATTGCTGCTGAGCCACAGCATGTTGTGATGTTTGATCAATGGTTACACCCTAACTTTCACATCGCCAGAATTCAAATTACCGGTACACAATTAGTTCAACCGTTTTGTCTTTGAATTTGTCTGTTACAGTGGTGATGCTTTTGCCATGAATTATAGAAACTGTTTAAACACACTTGTTGCAGGATTAATATTTCTTCTTTCATTAAAAGAATTATAATGTTACACTTTGTCATTATGTAGGATCAAAACGAGGAAGAGGAAGGTATTCTGAATCTGAAAGTGAAGAAGATATTTACATGGAAATTCCAGAGGAAGATGAAGAAACATATGGTTGGTACACTGAAAACTCAATATAAATGATGTACACATTGATACTACATCCTGCAAATAGCCTGCTTACATGGTAATGTGAATGTATTCAGATTAAATTATATTTTCGGAACACATTAGTGTGCATTCATTTATTCATGTCATTTCAGCTGCCAAGAAACGGAAGAAGGAGAAGAAGCAAAAGCGCCATGTACACCACACCTTGACTGTAGAGGAGTTGCTGGAGAGTCCGACCTTCAAGAAATTCAGCAGTTGTATGGACTATGTCTTTGACAGTGCTGAAGAAGTCAACTTTGCCAGTATTGATCCAAGTATGTACAGACAGAGATGGATAGTTAGTTTTCCTTTTTAAGTCATGTGATCGGATCTACATTTGTCATGTTGACATGATTTTGTGTACATATACTGAGAGAAACAAATAAAGAATTACAGGAAAATTCAAGCGTTCCTTTATTATTTTCCAGTTTTCATCACCACAGCGCTGTTCGTAGCTGGTGATGAAGACTGGAAAATAATAAAGGAACGCTTGAATTTTCCTGTAATCCTTTGTTTGTTTCTCTCAGTATATTTCAAGGTGCAGATTCTATTTCCAGTTCTGCTTTAGATTACTTTGCCAGATGGAGATAAAGAATGACCAGTTATTTTTGTGAGAATTGGCAACATTTCATAGTCAGAGTTAACAGTTTTCTTTTAGCTGACTACACATTTATGTTTGCTATTGAAAAGTGCCATGACCAGGGGTTATGGGTAGCATTTTCAAGGCGTCAAAGCTGCTATACAATAATGAAAAGAGTATTGCTGGATCACATCTTTTCGGACAGTATTTCTTACTCCCGCTATAATGAGGGGTGTTGCATCGCACAGACATTGTCAATTCCTGAATGATTGCTTTGATAAATTTATCTTCTATGAGTTACTGAGATGTTTTATAGTCATTAATGTGAACATACTGTTTGTTTCCTGAAAACCCGTAACAAGGATATTTGAATTGTTGCACACTCAATGCTAAGCGTCCAAGAAAGCCTTGTTTTGAATTCTGTGTAGTCTGTGTTTTGTTTCTGATAATAACAGAAGTGTAAAATATGTTTATTCTATTTCGATTATGACAGAAAATTTCCATGTTCAATGATAACATCATGCAGCAAATGTTATGTATGATCCCCCTTAAAAATGTTTAAGATGTATTTTTTTGTGTCATTGAATTTTTATGAGTAATGCATCGATATATACTAGCCAGTTGGACTACCATGTTTCTTTTACAAATCCTAAAAAGTAGCTGTCTGACACTGCTCTACAGTCCAGGTTGTTTTGTTGACGGGAACATATTATTGTCGACTTTTTTTAAACATGAAATTCATTTGCTTATGGCTATTGGTATACATGGAGTTTTTGTTTGTAGATGATGAAGAACAAGAGTGTCCTACAGAATCTCTGATAGCAAAAGGAGTATTGGGAGACATCTGTGGAGAGGCAGCCAAATTGAAAACAATGGGGGTCATGAATCAGGTACATACTGAATATCTGAAACTATTTCTCTGAAAAGACCTTTTTGTTACTGAAGAAATCTTGAAGTTGACAACAAAGGTGTTACATTGAATTTTGTGATCTTTAGCTTCTCCTTATGAAAAATCTCTGATATGTTACAGATTCCTCCTGACAGACTGGTGAAACTTCTGACCATCTTACAGTGGAATATCCGTGATGGAATCAAGGTTTCACCAAATATCAGCCAGGTAAGCAAAAATGAAAATGTTTCAGAGACTGCACATTTGTTTTTCAGTAACAGTAACTGTCATTTTCAAGGCTATGTGTAATAATGAACTTTTTTTTTTTGTCAATCAAGGATGAAGATGGGGAAGATGAGCAGAGACTGTGGCGAGAACTGACAATGGAGAGAATAATGAGGAGCATGGATGCCTCATTATCTGCCATATTTGTGATGACATCGAGAGACATGCCCAAACACGTGTACTTAGAAGATGTCATTGACAGGATCATTCTGTTTGGGAAATACCAGCTTGCTAATACTGTCTACCCAGAGTTTGATCCAGTGTACAAACTTGATCCGAATGCAAAAGGTAAACTGTTCACATTCATTGTCGTTAACATTCATTGTCGTTAACATGGTTAACAACTGGTTATGGCTTGTCTGGAATTGAATAATATTGATGTTATTTGATGATACTCAACAGGAATTAATATTTTGTTCAACTGTGTTTAATGGAAACTGACTATATGAATGTTACATGTGTTTCTGTTAGATGGATACCATGGTAGTTTAAAGGCCAAGAGAGCTCGGGCCGGCACAGTAAAACACAAATCAACCATCACTCTCTACAATAAGCTCTGTGAGCTTGTCAACAATCTTGCTGGACTGTTGGAAATACAGGAACTCACAGACACTGTTATTCTACAGGTTTGGCTTTTATGACATCTCTTACTTTTTCCAACTTTATTGAACATCGCTTATTATCCCCTGCCACAAAGTCTGAGGGGGATATAGGTTTGAGCTCCGCCAGTCCGAGATGATGAGAACAGATTTTCTCAAAAACTGTTATAGATAGGGAAACCAAATGTGGTATGTGTTTTCAGGACACAAATGCCTTGATGGTGTTCAAAAACGGAAACTGTTACAATTCTTTACAGAGTTATGTCCCTTGTCATGCGTTTCTTGTCTTAGTGCATGTTATGCCCAATGGGAACAGATATTCTCAGTAACTGTTGCAGATACGGAAACCAAATGTGGTATGTGTTTTCAGGATATGAATATTGTGTAATTAAAAACCGGGAACGAAATAGGAAGAGAACACTGTGGTGGGCGATATTGATGACCATGTCTTCTTGTTTATACTATCATAATCTTGATTGATTTGATAATGGTCTCTGTTTGCCAGTGTTGAAAGATGATTTGTGTAAATGTCAAGTAGTCCATTTACGTCACATATTGAAGACACTGTGAATGTGTGTTGTTTACTTTCAGGTCTCTTCACTTGGTGTGTCCACCTTCTTTGTGGAAAACATCAGTGAGCTGCAACTTAGTGCTATGAAGCTTGTCACAACGGTGAGTATACTTATCTGGGGATAGGCACCATGAGCTAACTCACGTCATATTACTACATTTAAGGAATAAACTAGTAGCCCTTAAATTGATACCTGTAAACAAATACATTAGCTATTCAAACCAATGAAAGAGCAAAATCAGGTGTGTTTCTTGTTAATTCAGTTATGAACAACATATCCGCTTTTAAGTTAAATTCTATGTAATTATGGGGCACACATGGCACAGTTGTTTTAGGTTTGGGAATTTGCTGTTCAGAGTTGCATCAGCCTTTTGGGATTGCAGCCTTGCTGGTTCGCACTGCGATCCTTAGTTTGCCAGCAATCATACTTGTTTTCTTTCACTAAAGTGCTGCTGACATCTAGGACCTTTGTAATGTCTTCTTACATTTAGCAGCAATATTACCAAATTCTTCTTCATAGAGATCGTCCTTGGGGTACATATTATGCATTTTCCAAGCTGAAAATGTCCTGTGACAGTTGTATCAATGTTTTTTGAATAAAAAGATTGTACAATAAATAAACTCTTTTATTTATTATACGGCCCCCACCTCACGGAGTTACCTCCCGTTACGCATGCGCACCAACTGGGTAAGCACCTAGGCCCGTATCATCATTCCTTCTGCTGTCACTGCCTCTAACAGACGTATGTGTCGAGCGGAGCTGACCTTTTCTGAGAGAAAGAGTATAATGTCTGTATGTATGGTCTTTATTTTGTCCTTGTAAAGGAACAGTAAAGCTTTGCGGTCGGTTGTTTCATAATTGTGACTTTGTATTAATTATTTTACGCTAACTTTCCCGTGGTTTACGCACATCTTGCTCTGCCATGGCGGGACGTTTAGCGTGCCACGTGGTCGTAATATTGCGTATTGAACCAACTATTTCTTCCCGTGGTAGCCTTCACGTATTTTTCAATGTTTTCTACGTGTATCTTAGCTGCTGGTCCGCCGTTAGCTACATGCTTGCGTGTTTGCTTTCAGGCGTTTTCCTCCTGTTCGCTCTGTGGACATAGTATTCCACGGGCCGACAGACACACGAGTGTATCGTGTGCCTGGAAAAGACCGGCCCTGAGGCCGAAACTTGTGAAATTTGTATGGGGTTTTCCCCCCGTGCCCAGAAGAGGAGGGCGGCCGATTTCCTCTTTTACAGAGAAATGCGGGAGGCGGGAGGGGAACTTACCCAGGTCCCCCCGTCTAAGGCTAAAAAGCCGCGCTCTAAGGGAAAAAATCCCGTAGCCAGTCCCCTTCTCCCGCTCCTGGTAGCGGTTTTGATATGACTATAATCACACAGATGTTTCAGCAGCACGCAGTCTCGATGAGGTCCCTCGTTCATGAGACGGTTGGAGGACTCCGGCAGGAGTTCCTCGCCCACTCTGAGTGTGGGGCGGAGAGGGCGGAGGGATCGCCGAGCCCGGCTCGATCCCTAGGCCTTGAGGCGTCTGTAGACCCGTTGCCTCTGGCTTCGGGTCCGGGCGCCTCGCCTCTTGGAGTTGGCGCAGGGACCGTTGATGATTCCTGGGGTTCCGATCCCTGCGCCCTCCCGCCCCATGAGAGCGGAGGCACCAGTTCTGCCTGGTATGCCTCCAGCGTCTCGGGACCGGGGTCCGTGCATGCCTGCAGGCACTGACGCGGGGCGCTCTGTCTGCTCCTCCCTCTCTGTTGTTCCTAGTGCTAGGCAGCCCACCGGGTCGGGGTTCGGGTCCTCTTCGCGAGGAGACCCAGCCTCAGACTCCGGCTCGGGCGCCGAGTCGATGGATACTGGGGAGGTCGAGGAGCAGGAGGGTGCCTTCCGTTTCTCTTCGGCTCTGCGGGAGGTCCGGCAACGGATTGCCGAGTACCTACCCCAGGCCGCGGTGCCTGTTAGCAGCTCAGACTCGGCTGAGTTCCGCTTGCCAGGCGAGGCGTTTGCCCCTAGGCAGCCTACGCAGACGCAGCTCCGCATTCTTCCATCGTTAGTCCAGGACGTGGTCGATCCCCTCTTGTCTGGTTCTCGCCTCCGTTTTGACTTGCCCAAGCTTGTCCGGAGGTACCAGCTGGGGGAGGATTCCCTGTTCGCGGTACCTATCGTGGATGAGTGTGTATTCACTTCAGTCGCCTTGGGGGGAGGCTCGGCTTCCTCCGGAGCAGCTCCGGCTGCTCGGCAAGGGCGTGTGACTCCACCGTTTGCCCTCGCGGGCGCCCCCCTGCGGCATGCGTACCGTACCTACGAGGAGGTTTACAGGAACGCTATGCAGCAGGTCAGGGTGGTGGTCCATGAGGCCTACCTCTCCTCGATTCAGAGGTCGGCCCTGGAGGCGGAGGGGCATGCTGGTGATGTTTCACCGCATGTCGTGCTCCTCCGGCAGTTGTCTGAAGTGCAGGCCCACCTCGCGCGCGACTCTTTGCGGTCCGCTGCGTCGACGGTGATGTGCGCAGTCATGGGGATGCGCAAGCTGTGGCTGTCGACGTCTCGTTACTCGGCAGCGACACAGCAGACCTTGCTGGCCCTCCTCTTCCGTCTGGGAGCGACCCTCTTTCCAGGGGCACAGCAGGTCATTAGGGAGGCTGCCGCTGCAGCTACCTCCTTCATGGACTCTAAGGCCTTGTTGGAGCACCCGCGGGTGTCTCGCCCCCGCGCTCCCGTTCCACCTTCCTCCGCCGGGGTGCAGCCTACACCTGAGTCCGCTGGCTGGCTTCGGCCGCTTGGCAGGGGTAATCGGAGGCACAGGTCCGCCAAGGGTAGGGGCAAGGAGCAGTCCTCGACTAGCTCCCAGCCTTTTCGCGGGCGCGGGAGGTCTGCCCCGACCTCCCGTTAACCCATCAGGCTGTCGATCAAGCCGTGTGTCACGCCCAGTCAGCTCCGCTACTCGGGACGACGCACGCTCTCTTACTCGACGTCCCAGTGGGAGGCCGCCTCTCTCTATTCCTACCGGAATGGGAGAAGGCTACACAAAACACTTGGGTGCTGTCCACCATCAGTGTAGGCCATTTACCACTGTGGAAGCGAGGTCCGCCCGACTTCACCGGCATACGCCGCACTCCGGTGCCGTCATGTCAGGCAAGGGCGGACATATTGCGCGACGAAGTTCAGGCTCTGCTGGACAAGTCCGCAATCGAGCGCATTCCACCGGGAGAGGAACAGGCGGGATTTTACTCCACGTACTTCCTCGTCCCGAAGAAAGACGGCGGGTTCCGTCCCATTCTCAACCTCAAGGGGTTGGAACCGCATGCTAGAAGTACCATCCTTCAAGATGGAGACACTGCGCTCGGTGATCTTATCTGTTCAGCCCGGCGATTGGCTCACGTCAATCAACCTAAAGGATGCGTATCTGCATGTGCCCATATGTCCATCGTTCAAGCAGTACCTTCGGTTCTCTTACGTCGGGATGTGTTACCAATTCAGGGTGCTCCCCTTCGGCATATCGACTGCCCCAAGGGTGTTCACCAAGCTCATGTTAGTCCCAGCTACCCTCGCTCGTTCGCAAGGAAGGCGTTGTTACCCTTACCTCGACGACTGGTTGCTTGGAACACAGCCAGCGAGCCTAGATGCTACTCACACAGTGATAGCCATTCTAGTTCGACTGGGGTGAATCATCAACCTCAAGAAATCCGACCTGGTACCCACCCAGGACTTGGTTTTTCTCGGGGCGAGGTTCCAAACACACAAGGATCTAGTTTCCTTGTCGCCAGACCGAATCACCAGAGTACGGGAGACGGTGTCTTCGTTCCTCTCCCAGCCCCAGGCACCAGCACGGACTTGGCTCCGTCTACTGGGCCATATGGCGGCGACGATCTCTGTAGTGTGGCGGGCGCGGTTGAGGATGCGCCCTATACAGCAAGCTTTGGCGAGTCTGTGGGCTCACTCGGAGGACCTGGAGCGCAGTCTCACAGTCCCGGGTGGTTGACACCTCACCTTCAGTGGTGGACCAATGTCGGGAATCTCACCAGGGGGATCCCCTTGGAAATCCCGACGCCAGCTCTCACAGTTCAGACCGATCGTCCCTCACGGGCTGGGGGTGTTCTGGGCAGTCTGTCGGTGTCCGGACTCTGGTCGAAGCGAAGCCCACCTTCACATCAGCGTGTTGGAACTGAGAGCTGTGCGGTTGGTTTTCGGCGCTTCAGAGAGCATGTCCAGGGCCAGGTAGTCCGTCTTCAGTTGGACAACCAGGCGGCCATCTCGTACATCCTGAAGCAAGGCGGCACTGTGTCCCCAGCGCTCCTCCGGGAGGCGTGGGACTTTCTCCTCTGGTGCGACCAGTGCGATTGTCAGGTACTCCCTGTTTATCTCCCGGGGCTGGAGAACGTGCGAGCAAACGCGCTCTCTCGCCGGATCCTGGCCCCGCACGAGTGGATGCTCGACAGGGAGTGGATGCTCGACAGGCAGATTTTCAGAGTAATCTCCCAGTTGTACGGGTCGTTCCAGGTGGATCTGTTTGCGTCCGGCGGGATGAATCAGACACCCGTGTTCAGCTCTGGAATACCGGACCCAGGGGCGTTGGCTGCCGACGCCTTCCTGCTGGATTGGACGGGCAAAGTGCTCTGGGCGTTCCGCCGTTACCACTCATTCCCGTGTCCTTTCACAGCTGTCCACCCAGCCAGCTCGGCTGCTTGTGCTACTGGCACCGCTTTGGCCGTCACAGAGCTGGTTTCGGTAATTCTCAGGTTTCTGGCTCAGCCTCCTGTTCTATTACCTTCTGACCGGACATTCTCACTCAGAACAGAAGCCCACCCAAATCCACGGATTCAGTGGGTGGCTTGGCCTCTGTCAGGTCTAGCCTCGAGGCACGCGGAATTCCTGCAGCAGTTGCAGACACAATTCTGGCTTCGGTGGGATTAGACAAACGTTCAGTATGAGGATAGGTGGTCCCGCTATGCGCGCGCTGGTGTTCAGATAGGGGATTGCAGATCCCTTTTCTGCGGATTTAGTCCGGTATTGGAGTTTTGCAAGCTCGTTTGGAAGAAGGCCTGGCGGCCCGACCATTCGTGGCTACTCCACCGCTATTTCCACTTTTCACACCCTGTCGATGGTGCTCTTCTGGGGCAGCACCCTCTCGTCACAGCGCTTTCTGGCTGGCGCGGAGCGGGTTCGACCTGCTCTCAGGCGAACCAGCCCACCTTGGGATTTGTCAATTGTGCTCGATTGGCTGTCCGGTCCAACTTTCTCACACCTATCGGCTATTTCCATTCAGTTGTTAACTTGGAAGGCTGTTTTTCTGGTGGCGGTAACGTCTGGGCGTAGGGTCGGCGATTTACATGCTATGTCGTCCGACCCGGCGCTGACTGTGTTTCACACTGATCGTGTCAGTATTCACCTCCCGGATACGTACCGCCCGAAGGTCGATCACGCTTTCCATGTGACAGCTCCTATCGAACTTCCCACTCTTACCCAGCCTTCCACATCGGGGACCTCTGCAACGAGCACTCACCCGATGGATGTCCGTAACGCGGGGAATCCGTACGGGTACCCAGCTGTTCTGTTGTTACGGTGGCGGGAAGGCTGGTGTGCCAGCGAGCAAGCAGACTTTGTCTCGCTGGCTAGTTTCGTGTATTTGTGCCGCTTATCAGGCTAAGGGCAAGCCTCCCCCTGAGGGGTTGAAGGCTCACTCGGTCAGGGCAGTAGCCGCATCAAAAGCTTTTGCATCGGCACTCCCCATTGAAGAGATCTGCTCTGCCGCTATTTGGAGCCGGCCTAGCACGTTTATTCGGCATTATCAGCTCGATACGCATTCCCGTAATCGTGCGAGCTTTGGCCGTTCTGTTCTCTCCAGTGGACAGTGTCTTGCCACCCTGACCGAGTGAGTCTTGGTTCATTGGTTTTGTTTGACGCTACTGTACAATACTGTGTGTTATTGACATGTCCGCTACTGGGAGCTAACTACCCACAATGCGTCTCTCTACGGAGTATTTAGGTCGATTGTGAGCGGTTTTTGACATTCCCCCCTACGGTGCTCACTAATCGACACGTGGTGGGTGGGGCTTTGTTTACATTCGTACCATGTGCGATTGCCTATGCTAACATATGGAGGTCGTCTTTGAGCACAAATCCTCCCTGTCAGTTCCCCTCCCATAATGCCTCTCGCGGAAGCGAAACTGGGACATGTGACAGGTGAGTGTTATGGCGTCTGTTCAATTTTTTTCCATGTAACGATAGCTATTTGTATGTGCTTGGACAGAATTCCCTCCTCCCTGGCCTCCGGTCTTTGGGAGTCTGTGTTTATGCATAATATGTACCCCAAGGACGATCTCTATGAAGTAGAATTAACCAAACCTGAAGAGGTTTTCAATTCTTCGAAGAGAGTCGTCCTTGGGGTAGGGCCTCCTGCCTCCCCGCAATTCTGTTCACTGATTTATTCAGCAGAAGGAATGATGATACGGGCCTAGGTGCTTACCCAGTTGGTGCGCATGCTCAACGGGAGGTAACTCCGTGAGGTGGGGGCCGTATAATAAATAAAAGAGTTTATTTATTGTACAATCTTTTTATTCAAAAAACATTGATACAACTGTCACAGGACATTTTCAGCTTGGAAAATGCATAATATGTACCCCAAGGACGACTCTCTTCGAAGAATTGAAAACCTCTTCAGGTTTGGTTAAGTTATGATCATGAACCAAAATCCCTGTCTCCATTCACATAACTAAAATGAATAAATATTTTCCTAAACTTCTTAATAGTGTTCCCAGTACATATTGATGCATATCACAAGCAATTTATGTTTATTATCTTCAATTTCAGGTATTTTCGCGATATGACAAGCATCGTCAACTTATCCTAGAAGACATCTTTGCCAGTTTAGCCAGGCTTCCATCAAGTAAAAGAAACCTTCGAAACTACAGGTAACCATTTTTGTCATTTACAAATACAGCTGAAACAATGGATTCCATTTTTTGCCCATATTTTGTGCCATAGTGAAAAATAATTTGATACCATAAGTTGTTCTGGAACATTGAGAAATTCATGCTTATTACAGACTCAACTCAGAAGAATCTATACAGATGGTAACAGCCCTTGCTCTACAATTAATTCAATGTGTTGTGAGACTTCCTACCAAGATTAGCAGTCAAGAAGACCAGCAACAAGAAGATACCCCAGGAAAGAAAAAGAAGAATGGAAAGGTCAGTGTTACTCTACATTAGATACACTGATATTGCTCTACATTAGATACACTGTTATGACTCAGTGATAGCATCAGAAATTGTTGTCCAGAAGCTGATGTTCTTGATAGACTTGAGTAAGTTGAAACACAGTGTTGGTGTTCCAAACTGGAAGGCATTTTAGTCCACCCTTTGTAAATAACTTGGATTAGGGATTTTTTCACTGAAATTCGACTTGACATATCAAAATATATAGTAGGCGGGGGGAAAAAACACTAATAAGCAAAATGTTTCCGATTGTCAGGCCTCAAAATGGCAACTAATGATTCATTTATTAAAACTGTCACTTTTCACAATGACTGAAAACACTTATTACCTTTCAAATGACCACATATTATCGACAGAATTAGAATTATAAACTATTTTTCGCAATGTTTTTTTTAAATAAACGGGTCCACATCAAAGTTGTCAATCAGCAAAGTATTAAAACGATGTTTCGAGGAAATAATTAAACAAATTGAATAAACTAATGAATAAAATCAACAACTGTACTCATAAAAGTTGTCAAAACGTACATTATAAATTACTATTTCCATCTGTTTTTGTGCGATCATGTAATGTAAGTCAAGTCACATCTCGGCTTTTGGCGCATCGGACTTCATGTTTAATGCCAAAATATTTGCATGAAGCATTATTGTCACAGGTCATAACCTAGCACAATACGTCCTCTAAGTTCCATAATTTACGTATAGGTGGTGATTGTTTGCTTAAAACGTTCAGAATAGCATGATTTTACCAAAAACTTTTGTCAAAAAAGTTTTCGTTTACGAGGATGGTATCCATTGCTGTAATATGATTGGCTGCCTTAGGTCACTTACATCATTTTGCCCAATCACAATCCTTATAGCAGACTGTGCCGAAAAAGTGTCATTAGAATCCAATTAAATCCTTTCTTAAACTGCGAAAATACTCCTGGCAATGTTGCAGTGTATCATTGATGTTCAGTGTTCATTGATGATGCAGTGCTCCCTATAAATTTTCCATGCTTCTTGAAATTCTATTTTGCTCCAAAGAAAGAAAAGGATAGAAGCATGCATGCATGCCTGCGTGTCATCAAGTTTAACATGTATCAAGATCAAAACCTGTCAGATTCCCATTGTATTTCGTACCTGCCATTTGCAGACGACGCTCAGAGGGCGCTGTAGTCAGGGGCGCATAAATCATATTTGCTTACCACACCTACAAGAACAATCGCAAATGCCATTTCAATGAATATTTTCTAAAGGGGTTAAAAATTGCAAGCAAATATGCTGTTGTTTTTTCCATTTTTTCTCCCAAGTAGTGTTTGCAGAAATATTAAGCAAGTATTTGTCCAGTAAGCGGGGGAAAAAATGGCAGTTTCCAATTTTAATTTTTTTTCTAATTTCCAGAAATTTAGGGTCGGCGGGTCCGTAATCCAAGTTATTAAAAAAGGGTGGCCTTAAGTTTGTTCAAGGCATCATATGTGGCAGTTTTGATTTTCTGAAAACCTCTTCAAAAACAAAAAGCACCTTTTGGCTGACTTTCTTGGTATATGCATAAAGTCAATTACAAATGTTGCACTGATTGATGCTTACCCAGAGGTTTCCCCTCTTTCTGAACCAATTGTTTTCAGACTTCTTTGAAAACGTTCAATACTGCAGACTGTTACTCTTCATACCCTATTGAAGCATGTAAAAGAATTAGTGTTTGTTCTGCTTTCATTGTGCTGTTTCATATTTATATTTGCAGACTGATGAAGAAATTGTTATTGTCACATCATATGAAACAGCCATGCGGACTGGCTATAACTTCCTCTCAGTTTTCTTGAAGAAGTAAGTACCTCATTTTCTCTGTGAAACATTTTTTATCCCCTCAACGCATTTTGCAGGGGGTATTAAAATGGACACCGTCTGTCCGTCCGTCCGTGCACATTTGTCTTTTCCGGAGCTGAACTCTAAAACCGTTCAGTATTTCTTCACCAAACTTGGCACATAGATAGATCTGGTGGTGTACTGGTGCCTTTTGGTAGTTTTGGAATTCTGAATAAAACATTTTTGGCGTTTCCATGGCAACAAGTTCAACTTAGAATGAAATTAGTGGTAGTGCTCTTTTCCGGAGCAGAACTCTAAAACCGTTCACTATTTCTTCACCAAACTTGGCACATAGATAGATCTGGTGGTGTACTGGTGCCTTTTGGTAGTTTTGGAATTCTGAATAAAATATTTTTGGCGTTTCCGTGGCAACAAGTTTTGACTTCACTTGAAATTGGTTGTAGTACACTTTTCCGGAGCAGAACTCTAAAACAGTTCAAAATTTCTTCTCCAAACTTGGCACATGCATAGATCTGGTGGTGTACTGGTGCCTTTTGGTAGTTTTGGAATTCTGAATAAAATATTTTTGGCTTTTCCGTGGCAACAAGTTTGACTTAGCCTGAAATTGGTGGTAGTGCTCTTTTACGGAGCTGAACTCTAAAAAACGTTCACTATTTCTTCACCAATCTTGGCACATAGATTGGTCTGATGGTGTACTGGTTCCTTTTTGGTAGTTTTGGAATTCTGAATAAAATATTTTTGGCATTTCCATGGCAACAAGTTTGACTAAAACAGAAATTAGTGGTAGTGCACTTTTCCGGAGCAAAACTCTAAAACTGTTTAATGTTTCTTCACCAAACTTGGCACATACATAGATCTGGTGGTGTACTGGTGCCTTTTGGCAGTTTTGGATTTCTGAATAAAATATTTTTGACATTTCCATGCCAACAAGTTTGACATAGACTGAAATTGGTGATAGTGCTCTTTTCTGGAGCAGAACTTTTAAAAAACTTTCAATACTCTCCTTCCACTTTCCTATATACACACCTAAATATTTGACATAATCATAACTCGTAGACATGAAGAGTATTTTGCCATTGCGGGGGATATTGATGACTTTGTCTTCTTGTTTGCATTTCAGTAATTCTTTTAACACAAAGTATTAAGACAAATACTTTTCTGTTTTAAATAACTGATCAAGAAATAAGGGCTTTGTATTTTGAAAAAACTCACTTACTACCTTATTGGGGATTCAGTTAAAACTTCACAAGCACAATATTTGCCTCTTCATAGGATCTGGATAAGTAGGTTTGTTCCCATGACTTTTTTCCAGAGAATGATTGATGTTTGTTTCAGGTGTACAACAAAGGGAGAGGAGGACTACCGTCCGTTGTTTGAGAACTTTGTGCAGGATCTGCTCGCCACTGTCAACAAACCTGAATGGCCTGCATCAGAATTACTTCTCAGTTTGCTGGGTAGAATTCTTGTAAGTCAAAAGACAATTTCTGTTGCACTGAGTATAAGAGTGTTGCAATTTCTTTCATTCATAGAATGTCTTGTAACATCAATTTCTTTCTTTTTCTGGGGTTCTGAAAAGTATTGACTGATTACAATCAAGGTTCATACAGGTTGTAAGGCCTTGAAATTTAAGGCCCCTTTTCAAAGCCTTGATTTGTCGTGTCAGCCATCAAGAACCTTGAATATCACCTAAATACCTTGATGATACATGAATTTGGATTTAAGGACATGTTTGTTCAATGTGTTAAACTTATGATAATTCTTAATTGACTTAATTCTTGTTTGAAAATTTGTTATGTTGACACTGTCATTTAGGTTTAGTTTTCCTTATCTGTATGAACCTTGGAAATGAACTAAACATTATCATACATAGTTAATATTTGTGATTTCAGGTTCAGCAATTCAGCAACAAATCTACAGATATGTCTCTCAGGGTAGCTTCTTTAGAATATCTGGGAATTGTTGCCGCGAGATTGCGGAAGGATGCTGTCACTAGTCACCTGAATCAGGAAATGATTGATGATATTGTCGACAAGGTTAGTGTGAATGTTTTTGGGTTAGATATCGACACAAGTTTGCAAGTTTTAGACTGGTGAAGCTCTGCAGATCAAGTTGTTTTGCATAACTTTCTAGTTGTAGCTGTGTTCTGTTTCGGATATATAGAACCCGTGCATGTCAGGGTTAGAATGAACCTTCAGTAACCCATGCTTGTCGTAAGAGGCGACTAACGGGATCGGGTGGTCAGGCTCGCTGGCTTGGTTGACACATGTCATCGGTTCCCAATAGCGCAGATCGATGCTCATGCTGTTTATCACTGGATTGTCTGGTCCAGACTCGATTATTTACAGACCGCCGTCATATAGCTGGAATATTGCTGAGTGTGGCGTAAAACTGAACTGAAAGAAAGGTGTCTTACACTACATTACGTTGTTTGTTTCAGGTGAATGAGAGTGATGATGAAGATCATACAACTAGAAGCAAGAAAAAGGTAAGGGACCCTTAAGTACTATGCGCTTTTACTTTCATCAGCAAATCCTTTTTTATCCCCCTGACATGTAATGTCCGTCTGTCTGTAATCATTTTGTTTCCAGAGCATAACTCGAAAACAGTTCAATATCTTGCAGCAAAACTTGGCAGATATATGACACAGATCCCAAAGTGGTACCTTTGTAGATTTTTGGCACTTTTATTTTCCTGGTTCCCATGGAAACGATTCAGACTTAGTCTCAAAAGGGAGGGGTGGGTTTCGTTTCTGGAGCACAACTTGAAAACCTTTCAATATCTTTCAAGCCTTGGCAGACCAATCAAACAGATCTTGAAGTGGTGCCTTTTGCTATTTACAGATATTTGGCATTTATATTTTTCATGATTTCCATGGAAACGATTTGGACTTCAAGTTGGACTATAAGTAACAGTCAGATGATTTGTTCTTTCAAATATGTCGGGGGCCGGGGGGATTTGTCATCTTCTGATGACTCTTGTTAAATTACAGATACTCTCCCTGATACTGACATTACACGTTATGCTCATATTAGTGTGTGTTTTCACTTTATTATCCCCCTCAACGCGTTTTGTAGGGGGTATTAAAATGCACTCAGTCTGTGTGTCTGTCCGTCCGTCTGTCCGTCGTTGCACATTTGTCTTTTCAGGAGCAGAACTTTAAAACCGTTCAATATTTCTTCACCAAACTTGGAACATAGATAGGTCTGGTGGTGTACTAGTGCCTTTTGGTAGTTTTGGATTTCTGAATAAAACATTTTTTTGTGTTTCCATGGCAACAAGTTTAACTTTGACTGAAATTGGTGGTAGTGCTCTTTTCTGGAACAGAACTTATTATGTTTTATGTTTATGTTTTTCAATAACATGTAACATGGTACAAACAGATGTCTCATAAGCTTTGGTAAAAGAAGTAAGAGCCAACTAAAGGGATCGGGTGGTCAGGCTCGGTGACTTGAGGGACAGATGTCACTGTATCCCAGTTGTGTAGATCGATGCTCCAGGTGTAGATCACTGGATTATCTGGTCCAGATTCTATTATTTACAGATGGCTGCCATATAGTTGGAATATTTCATAGTGTGGCATAAAACTAAATTCACCCACTCACTCACTGCTATATACACGCAGAAACATTTGACATAGTCATAACTAATTGACATATTCATGAAGAGTATTTTGCCATTGCAGGGGATATTGATGACTTTGTCTTCTTGTTTCATGTGTTGTGGGACATTTCATTCTGATTTACCTTTAAGCATAACAAAAGCATGTTTTTAACACATATGTTGCAGATGGCTTGCTTCTGAATTATAATATTTATTTATGTATTCATACCAGTGAATTCCATTTTTCTTTACTCATTACAATAGAAAGTGCCCGTTGATACAACACAGAGCTTCCAGGAAGCCATGCTGCAGTACCTGGCACACAATGCTGAAAATGATCCTTCATTATTGGTGAGCAATTTGAATCATTTGTAGAAAAGTTTAACTTTGATATTTATCTTCAACAGGCATGTCTTACTTATATATTTTGTTTCCCACATTTATCATCAGGACATCTGTAGTATGTTTTCAGAAGGTATGACATCGTATTACCAATTGTCAGTAATCTGCCCATCTGTTTCCCCAAATTGACAGAAGGGAATTGCCTGCAAATGTAGCAGGTTGTAATACAAGATAAAATCCTTGTATTATGAAGTGCAACCAACTGTATAATCATAGGGTATTTCAGTTTATCTTATGCACATTTATGTAACTTCTAAAATAATACATTAAATTACCTGCAGTTTGCTCGTCAGTTCTACATGGCTCAGTGGTTCCGAGACTCCTCAGTAGAAGCAGAAAAAACCATGGCCACTCAGGCCAAAGCTGAAGAGGACTTCGATGAGACAGAAGCAGAGAGGTCAACTGAAGTGATGCAGAATGTGGAGAAGAGAAAGATCTTCCTCCTAAATCAAGTTGCAATAATGTCCAAATTTTTGTCCAATAGCAAGTAGGTTGATTTCTGAGGTATTCATGCACAAGTTATTGAATATTTGTTGTGAAAATGAGTTTCAAATTGGCATAAGATTTGTTTTTCAGTTTACAGTTACAAATCACTAACATGTACAAAGGTGTGAATGTCTTTTATTCCTAACTTGAGCACAGACCTTTGTTCTAACTGTTCAAAAACTCTGAATACACCACCAAGAAGTGGTAACCAGTTACGTAAGACATCTACTTATTATTGGTCCAGCAAGCATGTCTTGGAAACACCCACAGTATTGGTGCCAAGTTCTACTCACACTCATGCCTCAAATTAAGGCATACCCAGAGGTGTGCAGTTATAGCATGTGATATTTCTGGCATGTGATACTTATGTGATGATGAGTTCATGCCACAAAAGCTTTACTAAATACATGTTTATCGTGTGATATTTTAGGGGGTCGTGACTCATCATTTCATAACTCTTGATACATTCTTCAAGTCATTCAATAAATGATACCAGCTGCATCAATTTCAGTCTACAATATTCTACCATCCATTTTCAGACCTGCGCCAAGCAAACTTGACTATGATAGTGCCTGTCTTGTTGCAAGGTACCTCTCATCTAAACGCCCTTTTGCACAAAGTTTTGATGTCTACTTGACACAGGTAAGTTGGATGCAGAATGATAATATATTTGATATCTTTGGGCGGATGATATGTAAGATATATAGAGCTGGTTATCGTTACATTTTGTCAGATTGATAATCGCTAGTGTCAGATCGATAATTGGTCGATTATAATCGTTTGGACGGTCATTTCATAGTCAAATAGCTACATTAGCGAACTAACTTCCGGGATGTTGTCAGCACGTGTCAGTTGTTAACGCTAGCAAGTTACTTACATTTGCAGCGTCTTTGGATCATCAAATATCCTATCGTCTTACGTTTCCGATTGTTATATGTTTTTGATCGGCCATTACAATTCCCGTTTATAGCGAGAAAATCCATGAGAAACATGCCGAATGACAACAAGGCGATCCCCGCTATTGTTCTGCCATCGATATGCTACGAATCAAGTTGCCATGCATAGGCAGCAGTATAAAAAAACCCACAAAAGATTAATTTTAACTCGGGGATCCTTAATGCAATATCTACCTCATAATCAAATGCACAAAAATCCTAAATCTTTACTCCAAAGATGCCATTAATGTTTCGGCTGCTTAGTTGACATCCCACCCTACAAGATCACGCTACTAGTCATGTGACCTCGCTGGTAGATTTATTTTCATGGCATGCCATTTTTTAAAAAACTTTTAGTTTATGTTGAAGGGTGAACAAAAACTTTTACTTAAGGTTGAAACACAAAATTTATTCTGGGAAGTATTATAATTAACCACTGTAACGAAAGTTCAAGAGAATTCATGAAACTGAAAATAGCTCTATTTTACCCGCCTTCCATAAGTCATGTGTTTGTATGCAAATGCAACTCCAGGAATTCCCTCTTTCAGACAATTAGAAAGTAGCTAACCTGTAATACCTGGGTCGTATTGTGACATTTTGTTGCATGATTGGACGAATGAGTTTTTCTATAAACCACTTTACAACTCATAGTATTTCAATGACGAAATAGGACACCCCAATCTAAATATGTCTAGCATTGCCATTGGCTGACAGGGGAGGCATGCGTACTTGTGTACTACACAGCTTCCGTTTAAGAGGTAAACAAGCAATGACAACCAGAGTGTTCAGCATAAGAAAACATGACAAGGTAGAATAAAATTTTTAGTGTATGTGCATCCAAATAATGATTATTTCCGATTATCGATCTGCAGTTTATTTGTAATCGACAGTCGTTAATTTTGACTTTGATCGAACGATTATCCGATCCTACGATTGATCGCTCCAGCACTAAAGATATATGTCCAATATAAGGAACAATTTTCAGAATAACATTCAAAGAGAATTGTTAACATTGTATCATTTATGTACATTTTAAACAAAAGTGAAATGAAAATGATAGAAATGAATTTGGTGCCTAGAAAGCCCTATGTGTTTCGCTGTCAAGCCTTTGCTCTTTTTCTTGATGCATTTATTTTATTTTAGTGCAGGTTGATCTGTCAACTTCATAAGTGATAGTTGATCAATGTTTCAGATCCTGAAGGTGTTAAGTGAGACTGCAGTGGCTGTGAGAACCAAGGCAATGAAGTGCTTGACAGCAGTAGTAGAAGCTGATCCAGGGATCCTAGCTAGGGTAAATACCTTTCCGCCTGTTTCTTTTTGTTTTCTCATAAGTACCTCAGGCCTGTCTGTTAATTCGTTGGCCGAAACAATTTACAGCCTGGTTCACTCACCTCTGTTGCTTATACTTGAGGGTTATGATGAGAAATCCTCTGTTTTGTGGGTGACTTCTTTTGTGTATCTTTGTGCTGGTAAAGTAAGAGATTTGTATCTTGTTTTCAGTCAGACATGCAAAGAGGTGTCCATGGTCGATTCCTCGATCAGTCAACATCTGTACGAGAAGCTGCCATTGAACTTGTTGGCAAGTTCATCCTTATCCGTCCTGAACTCATTCCAAAATATTATGACATGTTGTCAGAAAGAATACTGGTGAGTAGGGACATTCTTGCAACATTGGAGATATTGGCAAACGTCTTAGGCATTGTTGAATTCTTCAGGCTTTTCTAAATTTTGAATATTAAATGAGTTTTAAAAAATAAAACAAATATCAATAAATGCGACAAGGAAAGTAACAAATGGATTGATGTTTGTGACACTAATAGTTAATGAGTTCTGTATTAATTATTGGTTTGTCATGTTTCATAAAGAGCGTTAACTTCTTTGAGTTGCGCTTTGGAAATTGGGAAGTGCAATTATAGCAAATTTTATAACTAACAACTTCTTTTATTTACTCCTTCCCTATGTTTCAGGACACTGGTATCAGTGTACGGAAACGAGTGATCAAGATCTTCAAGGACATCTGTATAGAGCAGCCAGACAACACCAAAATACCTGAGATGTGTGTCAAGATGATCCGTAGGGTGAATGATGAAGAAGGAATCAAAGTATGTACATGGCTTTTCAGAAGAAATTATGGTAACTTATTTAGGATGGGCTATCATGTTCAAACCTTGCTGCAATGAAGGTGAATACAGTGTGTCTTCATGGTTAATTAGACATGATGACTGAAGCATAATGAGTATTTTATACTTGTTACTTTTGTGGTTTGATTTGAATCATTGTTAATTTATAAGTAGCACTGATACCAAATGTTGTTGACATGTTAGGAAAGCTACCCCTAATATTGTGAAAACTTTGTTTAGCTGAATATAGTAATATGTCTCTTTCAGAAACTCATCAATGAAGTTTTCCAAAGTATGTGGTTTTCACCTCTACCATCCAGAGAAAAAGATCCAACTAGGCTTGTCCAGAGAGTGATGAATATTTCCGATGTGGTATGTATTTTCTGTAAAGGGTAGAAAGCCTGTGTTTTGACTTCACTGATCATCACTTGTGGGCAGTATATGAACCTATTTATTTACCTGGACTAGGACTTTCACACGTTTGAGTATTGTGTCATAGGACGTGAAACAATAGAGCACCACTTGAGATAGGTCACCAGAATTGATCTGATACATAGAGTGCTGTAATTAATTATCTAGATCTGGTAAATTAAATATGAATTTGTTTGAGAGTTAATTGGTTGACCTGGGGGCTGGCTTGAAAGAGAGAGGCCTAAGATGTTTTCTGTTATTGTTTAAATGCTGCACTCAGCAAATTCCAGCTATATGACGGCGGGTCAGTAAATAATTGCGTCTGAACCAGACAAACCAGTGATCTACAACAGAAGCATTGATCTACACAACTGAGATACAATGACATGTGCCAACCAAGTCAGCGAGCCTAACCACCCGATCCCTTATGTTGCCTCTTACTTCTTTTACCAAAGCTTATGAGACATCTGTTTGTATCATGTTACATGTAAGTGAAATACATAATTTGTTCTATTTTAGGTTGCAGCCTGTAAGGATACAGGATATGACTTCTTTGAGCAAATGTTGGAAAATGTAAGTGATTTTTTTTTAGCTATTAGTTATAAGTTTGTATATTTACAAAACCCAAACCTGCATAAAAAGTACTTCCTGATAAGATGATCATTAGTATTAAGGTGAGGTGCACACAGTATTTATCAGATATGTAACTTCAGAATTTTGAAAGTATAGAAAGAAGGGAATGGGTATGATTCTCTTTTTCCAAGTTGTAAATACTCTGTAGTCAGTCCTTTTCTCAACTAAAATATATTTCCATCCACAGTTGCTGAAGAAAGATGAGAATGGTCAGATCAACAAAAGTGCTCTTCTTGCCTGTAAACAGATAGTAGACTGTTTGGTGGAAAATGTGTTGAGGATTGAAGAAAAAGGTGTTGGTAAGTTAATAGCAAAGATGTGCTTTAATTGAGACATACTTTGATATTAAATTTTCTTGTATGGATTTATGTTTAAAGGCAGGCTTAGCATTTAAACACCAAGTTAGCTGCACAAGAAGCAGAAATCTTAGAATGTTATTGGCAGTGTTTATATTTTGTTGTAAAACAGTTCCTTAGAGTTTTTCACACCAATATGATTACAGAATTAACTGAGGGCCGAACCACCAGCAGTCGATTAGTGGCATGCCTGTCAACATTGTATTTATTCAGCAAGATCAAACCAGACCTGATGATCAACCATGCGACAACATTGCAGCCATATCTGGATATCAAGTGCAGTGTAAGTAATGTTTCTTGTTTTTCAGAAAATAATTATTGTTTATCGCCATCTGTAACACAGCTCCACTTATAATGCAGAAATTTTTAAAAGTGGGTGTTAATTAATGTATCTCGTTGATACTGTGATCCAGAGAAGATGCACCCAATTATACAGGGTAATAACCAGTGGTTGGTGTTTCAGACTCAGGGAGACTATCTTGTGTTACACTATGTTGCACGGATCCTGGAACTGGTGGTGCCACTCATGGATCATCCGAGTGAAACCTTCCTAGCTCAGCTGGAGGAGGACATGATGAAACTTGTACTCAAACATGGCATGATGGTATGTTGTTGTCCTACACATTTTATGACTTTTCATATTGAAATATCCTTAAGTTTCTGTAAAGGCACTATTGCAAGTCAGTTTCCATGCAGACACTGTCATTTGAGTAATATGGGTTTCATGTCAGATTGTCATTGTCTACAGCCTCCAGGGCTCGATTTAGTGCTTTGTTACTTGCACTGGTGCATCCCAATATTACAAAGGGCAACCTAGTTATTAGTCTAACTTGCACCAGGTGCAAGTCAATTTTTGAGAAATAAATCAACGATAAATCTAATACATTATAGGCATAATAATGTCATTTCCTTTTTTCTTCTAACTGTTGAATGGCAATGGCATCAAAACATTGCTATTTACAGATACTTCTCGGCTATGACAGCTCTTGTAAATAGGGATCAGCTGTGTGGCTGTGTAGCTTTGGTTTCGTGGGTACTATGTCGCGGAAATATGTTTATGTGCACTGAAACCTCTGACGTTTTAACACTACGCAATCATTTTAAGTGATAGCTGGCAGATTTGTCGCATATGGCTGTGTGAAACACTAAGCCTCCTGTGAACTTTAATTATCCAAATTGTGGATGAAAATAACCATGGATAGTAAAAATAAACAACAGGCAAGCATTAAAAACATTTCTCTTAAAGAAATCAAGTGAATTTGCCGACAAAAGTGGTAAACCAAATTTGAAAACACGAGTGATTCCATTGAGTGATTGACATTGCTGATGCATGTGGAATTTCAAGGCTGGGCGAAAAAACTACAGATGATGGTGGCGTGTGGTCATGTGCACAGGTCACAAATCAGTTGAAGTTCAGCAATGTTGAGATCAGACAGTCCTTGGTTGGGTGACCGAGTTTGGCAGCTTGACTCCTGAGAGTTTCTAGGATTTCAGTCCCGCCCCACAACGAAGCATATGTGACTCATGTGGTCTCACCTTAGGCAAGACTAATAACCTTCTAACGCCTCAAAGGCAGCTTGGGTTATCCGGTGTAATAATGTGTTAGCGCTTTGTGTGGGAAAGGCGCATTATAAATGGCCATTATTATTATTATTATTATTAAATTAGAGACAAAACGTAAATCCAGCCACAAGCAATGCTAAAAAAAATAAGTCCTACCAATTTAAAGAGGAATGGGGAAAAAATAACAGGGACTTGTTGCATTATGATGAGATTGTAAACATCTAAATAATTCAATAGCATATTTCTTTCATTACATGGTCAGGCTCGCTGACTTGTTTGACACATGTCATCGGTTCTCAGTTGCGCAGATCGATGCTCATGCTGTTGATCACTGGATTGTTTGGTCCAGACTCGATTATTTACAGACCGCCGCCATATAGCTGGAATATTGCTGAGTGCGGCGTAAAACTTTTTATCTTAGGTGCAAGTAGTTAACATCCCTTAAATCGAGCCCTGGCCTTACCTAAGTAACTTATTTCCCTTGGATAATTTGAAATGATTAAAATAAAATTCCCTCTAAACCACATGTAATTTTTGATAATAATTATATATTTGGATGCATAGTGGTTTTTCTTTTTGCTTTTTTTTGAAACAAATACATGCATATTACCTTTTTGTAGAACTTCAAAATGAAGACATGCATGCTTCTTTTGTAGGTGCTTCAAAGCTGTGTTAGCTGTCTTGGTGCAGTGGTTAACAATGTTAGTCACAATTATCAGCTGGTGAAGGACTGTTTCCAAAAGTTCTTTGGTAAGAATATGCTAGCTATTATGAGCTACTAATTCCTGTACAGACAACGGATGCCTTTAATGTTATTTTATGCCTGGGACGTGTCACAATTTCACTAATGGTGTAAGAGCAAGAGTACTCCTTAGTTTCTAATGTTAAAAAATTGCAAAGTTGTCTTTAGGACTAGGCTTTATCATTTTATGCTTACTCATTACAGGTGTGTTGACTAAGCTCATGGCAGATCATAAGGATGATCCGCACAATCCCACGTTAAAGAGTCGACGTCCAACCTTACTGAGATCTCTCTATACTGTGGGCTTGCTGTGTAAACACTTTGACTTCGACTCACCAGATATGGGTGAAACAAAGGTAAAGACTGACTCAATTGGTGTATCACTTTTTAGACAGTACAGTGTGAGGAAGACATGAAAATGTATGACAACTTCTGTCTTAATTTTAGTGCTTTTGACTACTTCTTGACCATTCCTAATTTAAAAGGGTGTTTAGTGTCTATGGTATCTATACTGTTTAATGTCCAATACTGTATATATATATTGCATAATTAATGTCTCATTTTTAAGAATTCTTCATATCTTTACAGGTGAATGTGAAAGAGCGAGTGTTCAATGTACTGTTATACTTCATGTATCATGAGGATGAAGATGTCACTCACAAAGCCCTCACAGCTTTAGGTGAGTATGAACTTGAGTATTGCCCTCCTCCCAGTGGCGTAGACTTGTGTGTATTAATGTGTGGAACTGAACTATGTATTAAGAACATGTATTGCTTTAACTTACAGCATGTATCAAGTGCATGTACTGACTTTTATTCCAGATGTTTGATGCATGTTAACTGTTGACAGGGTTCATGGTGTCTCGGCATTATGAGTTCATGCTGGGGAAGACCATGAGGGATCTGTATTACCGTTTCCTAACTGGAGAAGAGGAGCCAGTCAAACTGAGGTGTCAGGTAACTCTATGTTTTATTCTCCTCATACCTTCAGATGGTTTGACTGGCCACATATTAGTACAGGCTGCTATATTCAGCCACATTTACTCGATGATGATACAGTTCAGTTACAAACAGAGGGTTCAATACTTGCTTAATACAGTTCCTGTATATACACTGTTTTAATGAAAGGTTTTGCTTTACTAAATATTATGAACTGTTTCTTTTTTTTCAAGGTACTAAGAAATCTACAAAACTATCTCATAGAGGAGGAGTTTAGGATGGAGAAAGCTGATGCTGAATGTAAGTATCTTTATTAGTTTTATGAATATAAGAAGAAACAAACATTATCTTTGTTCAAATAATACATATACTATCTACTCTCCAATAAAATGCTGATGTTTTCTTTTTACCCAGGGAGGAAACACGCTAAAGAGGAGGATCTCAAAGAAATGGGTGATGTCCAGTCAGGGTATGTCTCCATTTGAGTTTGGATATGGGACATTTTGTACGTTTTAGAGGGATGAAAGTGGATTGGTGGTTGGGCAGATTAAATTGTCAGAATGTAATTTAATTACCATGTTTTTATGTCATAAGAATTGTTGACTGGGTAACTTTTCTCCCCATATTGACCTACTTTGCTGCATTTGGAATTAGTTACTTTATGGAGTCAGTGGATAGAAACTCTAAATCGATTCCTTGTTTATGTAAGTTTATGTTGGTGAATTCAAACCTTTTCAAAATAGGTGAACATTGTTATATTTTCTTCCAGAATGGCAAGTACAATTATGCAAGTGTACTTGAAGCAGGTCCTTGAATCCTTCTTCCATGAACAGGCCCAGAATCGCCTGGCAGCTCTTGGTGTTGTAATTCTCATCCTCAAGCAGGGGCTTGTGCATCCTGTACAGGTATGTTACATGTTCGTCCTATTTTGACCATTTCAAATGGAATCAGAAACAACTCTTATTATTGTACATTGCCCCCAGTGAGATAATATATCAGGTCATATATATGTGTAATGTTATCTGAGTCACACCTTTATTAAATCGTGAGCAAAAGTGTGTTGAATTGGTTTTTTGTCCCCCGCCGCAACGGGGGACAATGTATTCAGCGGCGTCCGTACGTATGTACGTACGTCGGTCCCGATTCTTGTTAACGCGATATCTCATGAACTATTGTACCCGATGTCTTCAAATTTGGTGACAGCCTATATTGGGGATTACCCAGACACCAGTCGATTGGGGTGACCATGACCTTATTTTCAAGGTCACCACGACACTTTGACCCCTTTTCAAACCCTTGTTAGGTGATATCTCATGGACTGTGAATACATCTTCAAATTTGGTGACAGCATACATTAGGGATTACCCAGACACCAGATTATTTGGGTGACCTTGACCTTATCTTCAAGGTCACCATGACACTTTGACCACTTTTAACTCTTGTTAACGCGCGACATCTCATGGACTGTTGTATCAAATGTCTTCAAATTTGGTGACAGCTTACATTGAGGGATTACGCAGACACCAGTTGATTTGGGTGACCTTGACGTTATCTTCAAGGTCACCACGGCACTTTGCACACTTTTAACTCTTGTTAACGCGATATCTCATGGACTGTTGTACCCAATGTCTTCAGATTTGTTGACAGCCTACATTGGGGATTACGCAGACACCACTTTATTTGGGTGACCTTGACGCGATATCTTATAAAACCTTGCACCCAATGTTTTCAATTATGCAGACACCAGACACCAGTCTTGTATGTGACCAAAAAATAAAAGTAGTAAATATAGATATTCTATTCTTTAGTGGCAGGGGACATTGCCATATCAGTGGCAAACACTTGTTTTATATTAATTTGACATTAATTTCTGCTTGGGTAATGTGTAACTTTTTTTATGTGATTTTGTTTTGACATCTTGAATTTGGGCCTTATGAGTAAATGAAAGGTAAGTATGACTTTATCCAACTTTTAAACCAAATTGTTAGTATGGGTTCATTGTAAGCTATGTCATTCTTCTCTTTTGATATCAACCCACATCTGTTTGTTACAGTGTGTGCCATATCTCATTAGCATGAGTTCTGATCCTGAGGCAGCAATAAGAATAAAAGCAGATCAGCAACTGGAAGAGATTGAGAAGAAGTACCCTGGTTTCACCCATGTATGTATTATATTGGACTCTTTATATTTTTTGCCTTAGTACCTTCAAAAGTGCAGAATGATCAGGTAGCACATTGTAATGAAGTGATTGACGTTTGTCATCTTGGTAAATGGCATATGCACATGCTCCTTTGAGCTACAATTCAGTTTCTTTCTTCCCATTATTATTCCCCGCCATTAAGCGGGAGAGGGATATTGGTTTGAACTCTGTCTGTCTTTCCTTCCATCTGTCTGAAAACCATTATAGATAGGGAAACCAAATGTGGTATGTGTTTGCAGGACATGAATGTTGTGGTGGAGTTAAAAAACAGGAACCCAATAGGAAGAAAAAACTGTGGACGGGGGGGGGTATTGATGACCTTGTATTTTTTTTTCAATTCAATTTCAACAGCATTCATCTGAGGTCTGTAATGTGTTTAAGAAAGTACATCTTTACGAGTCTTCCTGGTTTTGAAATCCTAAAGTACTATGTATGCATGTTATCAGCTGAACTTCAGGTGTCATCCTCTGAGATGTAACCAAAGGGATAAATAAATATTGATAGTTTTTGCCATTTCAGCCCTGCGAGCTAAACTAAAGTTTTATGGAACTGACTGCATCAATATGAATATTTATGTATGCTGTGTAGTATTTTGTTTCATTGCTTGGGAAAACCCATCCTGTAAAACAGTAAATCATTTTCAGATGAAAGCTCTTCAGGGACTGAAGGCTTCCTTCAGGCTGCAGGAGGTGCTAAATAGAAACGCTGAAGGTCCAATCCGTGGAATCCGCAACCATGATGACAACAACCCTCAGAGCCTTAATGCATTCCTCTATACAGTTCTCCGCCCCAACAGACAATATCGGCGTGGTCTTTTAACATCACTTCTCAACCTCTTTGATGACTCCGCAGTAGGTTATTTTACATGATATGTTTGAGGTATTGGCTACATACAAAATACCATATACCACATGTGTGAAGAATGTGCAGAAGTTAAGTTGCAAGGGGTTCATTGGCGTGTAAACAATTAGTTTAAAACATGTATTATCAATATGAAAACACATCTTATTTAGGGGTGGCACTAAACTATTGTCATAGAACTTGGATAGTATAAGGAGTACTTGTACCTTCTCCAGAACTGAGCTTCTGATCTGACTCCAGATCTGACTTGTAATAACCAAACAAGCTGTTCTTAGATTCAGTGCAAAGTGAGCTGTTGATATTTTGCCCTGTCATCCATGTTATGCCTTCAGAATATGAACAGTTGCAATGCATTAACAGTTTCGTACATTGTTACATATTTAGTGCCATGCTTTTCTGATTGACCGAACTTTGTCTTCAGCGTGTGAGTTTGAAGGAGCAAGTGTACATAGCAGACAACCTGGCCTTCTTCAACTACCAGACACAAGATGAACCTCTCTTCATCATTCACCACATTGATGTCATCGTATCAGTCACAGGATCCAATCTCTTGCAGTCATTCAGGGAGGTAATCATTTCGATTATCATTTATACACTTTATGAATAAATGACCAGTTCATGAAAAATACAAAAATCTCACGCAAATGACAGCAGTCATCTATATGGGTTTTTTAATGTGTGTTTAACTATTTGATTTGTAATACTCATTTCTCGGTGAATGATGTGTACACTTTTATGTATGCAGGCATTGAATCCCAAGAAAATACCCGCAGAAGAAGAGACGGAAGGAAAAGAGATTGAAATACCAAAACCTCATACAGAAGATGACGATGATGATGATCCAGAGTCGTTACTCAGTAAGGATGCTTGGTTCAGTTATTTGCTCTTTATGTAAAATCTCAAGTTGATTATGTTTTCTGGAAGACTTGCAGTTAAACAATTTGCTGTGGTCATGTACGCTTATTGTTTTGAAAAGTGTAGGAAGTCTTTGTACTTTGTTATGACATATCTATTATTTGTGTTCACAGAAAAGTTACCATCAGAGATCAAGCCCTTGCAAGATATCATCAATCTGTCTCAAGGCTGTGTATTATTGCTTGTCATGAAGCAGCATCTCAAGGACATGTTTGGCTTCACAGACAGGTAATTCATTTTTTTTTCATTTCCCATGTTTATAGTAGCTCATTGCAATCTGCCATGTTACATTGATATTGGAAGTTAGTAGCAAGTGCATGTAGAATTGAACACGCTGATTCTTTTGTAACAATTTATGCCCTACTTAAGACTCTGGTGATATTGTTTTATTTGATTCTTCTCAGCAAAATCTACAAGTATTCACCGACAGAATCTGCAAAGACATATGACAAGCCACTCAACCGGAAGCAGGTTGTTAAGTTCAACCCAACCCACACCCTGGAGGTGCTGGTAAACAGGGAGAAAGAGAAGGAAGATGACATCGATGAAGAGGCAAAGAAGCAGAAACTTGTTGATGATTACCTTGAGGTATATGATACAATTTTTGAGGGTGCTCAAGTATTAAGCTTCAGTTCTTAACGTAGTGAATGAAACATCGGTTACAAAAACTAGTGAAAAACATTACAAAGCTGACTTTGTCATTAACCTAGAGCTTTCAAAACTAGCCCTTGTCCTATAATCTGAAGCAAAATTCCTGTTTGTTCAGGTATCCATAGAACTTGTGACAAGTTTAATCTTCTCTTATGTGTTTTTTGGTTTCTCATTTTTCCTAACTAATAGAGTATGTTTAAAATTCTCATAGTTCCGTGACTTGATGATGAGTATTGATCCAATGGATGAAGATGACAGTGGTGATGAGAAGAGCTCTGGCCGTGGCACGCCAGTACCAGGTGGTCGCCAAGGAGACGGGTCAGAAGTGGTTCCTATGGAAGGGGGAGGGCGGGGTTCCACTTGGTCCAGGTGGTGATGGGGCAGCTACACCATCAGGAAGCAATGTGAGTACTTGTTAACACCAATATTGATATGGCGTTTGAAATATCCATGTTCAACGTCCGATTGAGAATATTTCACCTAAACATTATCAAGGCATCAACAGCAACATATTCTCTCATATTTTATGCACTTCTCTTCATATGAAACTAAATTCATTGCTTCATTACAGGAGGGATCAGTTCCATCATCTGCATATTCATATGCCTACATCCAACGACCCAGCAAACTCCCACCAGAGAAGAAAAAGCGTACACATACACCTAGGGCACCACGCACACCAAAGACTCCTACAGTGAAGAAAGAAAAAAGGAAAAAGAAGCGACGTAGGCGTATGAGTGATAATGAAGATGATGAAAGTGATGACGATCCCGATTTTGTGTTGTAAATATCGTTTCTGACACCAACCAGTAGAGGGTTTTAGTTATCTATCATTGCGTGTTTTACTGTTTTACATTGTAAATACTTTGGTAGAAAATAATGTTATTCATCTGTTCAGCTGCTGCTATACCTGTTACAACATGAGATGTATTTAAACATTATCTTCAAGCTCACCTTTTGAAAGGATGGATTGGAGGGTTTTTAAGAAGGATGACATTTTATGAAGCATTAGCTTGTAAATTGCCCGCATCATTTATAAGTCTCATCTTGTCATTATTTTTCACCGGTCATCCTTTTTAGTGTATATTCAGGTTTTTCATGTATATTTATTGATAAGGTTTTATATTTCAAAGAATTCATGTTTGAGTGCATTGTCCATGCTGTTTTAATCCTGTCAGATATTCATCCTAAACTTCATATCCCCACATGACAACAAAATGGATTAACACTTATAGAGAAGTCTGCCATGAATAAAGATGAATGTTATTTAAATAAGATCCATGATATTGTGTTATTTATTTGTATGGCACAAAATTGTTCAAGGCATGAGATTATAACATGATCATCCTGTGTCATCAGAAAACCATTGACCAAAAGTGTCAATACTAAAGCAAATGTAAGAGCCTTAATGCTGATGGTGCATATGGAAGAGGTTTAGCATGATTAAGTGCATGAAATTTGTTTTTGCTGTATTTATCAATATTTCAGTGTTTTGTAAATCCTGGCCAGACCTACAAGTGGTTGAAAATATGAAAAACAGTACACAGTATTGGTATGATGACCTGCAATTAGCAAGATAACTAATGTAGCCACAAATCACATTTTTGCTTTTGCCTTTTACAACTATATACAAAAGTATTGGTTACTTTTTCTCCACTGGAAGCCATAGGATTGGCAGTATGTAACTAAGCTGGATTCATCCAATAACTTAAGTGATTGCCAGATTGTCCCACATCGGGTATGTATTGGTTATGATGTGTGTGACATGCATATGAGTTAAAACTTGTAAACCACACCAGAATACCAACGATGGATCAACAAGGACTGTTTTACGAGGAACCAGTATGTTTCCATACAGAATTTTGCTCTGCTCTCTGAAGTGGACTATGTATAAAACCAGCAGCATAATGCATAATTTGTGATGCAGGATTCCCCATCTGTGTTTACGCTGTATCTGACAGGGAGGTGATGCAATTACCAATATTACAGAGTCTCATTCACAATTGCCATCTCAACAGTGAATTTTCAGAATAGGGTTTCATGCATGTGTATATACTTACTTACAACCAAAATAGTTGAGTAAGTTACTTAAAGGCACTTGAGTACATGACAGGTGCTATCTGAAGGACATCTCTTCCATAAGAACACCGCTAAGGAAAATTATATGTAAGCATTAGAAAACGAGTGTTGTGTAACACCTTGCAGAGATAAACATGTCACTCTTGGCAATTATGTCAGGATTACTAACTGTCATGACGAAGCACCTGTTGGCACCATGAGCAAAAGAGCCAGTGAAGAAACATCTCTGATGCTTAGTTTGGATCAAAAGAAACTGCCAGATTGAATCCTATCCACTCCTGCTCTTATTCTAATGATAGTAGAGGCCATTACCTCCACTGGCGACACACCATACCACATTTTCAGGTACCCATATAGCTATCTGCTTCTTAGTTTGTTTTTTCTCCTGACGCAGGAGTAAGAATATACTATTATTACGCCCCTCATTACAGAAGTTGACATTTTATTTATTGAGAATTTTAGGAATATGTTTAATTGGATTTCTAGTATAATCAACCTTGACCAGCTATCAAGTGCGTGGTTTCATTCAAGAGAGACAACTCCTTTAATCCTTTTTCATTAGTTTGTGAAGAGTTATCCCCTTTGTTTACTTGCTAGCAGACGACATTTTCAGTGATCCTCAGTATGGATGATTTAGAGAAGAGGAAGTTGATTTTAGAGTATTATGACAAGGACATCAGATCAGCTAAAGTGATTTCAAGTAGAACAGGCATCCCTTTGTCCACTGTTTATCGTGTTTTGAAAAATATTGCAAATGGATATGGCATTGAGCACCAGGGAGGCGCAGGTAGGCCCAGAAAATTGACTGTCGGTGACAGGAGGCGGCTTGGTATTCTTGTTTCTAAAAACAAACGAAGGAGTTTAGAAAACTTAAGTCTGGATATGATTGATAGAGGAACTGTGGCTGTCTGTAAGGAGACAATTAGAACTGAACTGCATGCAATGGGTTGGCAGAAAAGTCGAGGAATTCCATCACCGACCATGAAACCTGAACAAAAGGAGCGAAGGTTGAACTGGTGCTTACAGCATAGAAATTTTAACTGGGACAATGTGATTTTCTCAGATGAAAGTTCTGTGTGGCTATTTCCTAATACACTGAAATTCTGGACCAAACAAACTGAAACACCTTTGTATCAGCGCCCAAAGTACAGTCCGAAATTTAATGTGTGGGGTGGCATATCTGTGTTAGGGGCAACGCCCGACTGTGTATTTGAAGGGAATATGAACAGTGAGCGGTACATAGATATTCTCGAGGGACATTTACTTCCATCTGCTCACGTGTTCTATGGAAAGTTTTGGATTTTCCAGCAGGACAACGACCCAAAACATCGTTCAAAGCATTCACAGGCCTGGTTTCGGACCCAAAATATGACATTATTAGATTGGCCAAGCTATAGCCCTGACCTAAATCCAATGGAAAATGTTTTGGGGACATATGAAGGAAAGTGTCAATAAGAAAAATCTGACAAATATTGCTGAAATGAAAGAAGAGGTGGTCCGATATTGGGACAGCATGGACCACGACTTTCTAACTTCTTTGATCAGTAGTATGCCCCGCCGCATTGAAGCCTGCATTGCTGCCCATGGCGACTTAACAAAATACTAACTGTTCACCTGTCTTTGAATCTGGAGTTATGTTCTGCTAATATTCACATTTAATACGTGAGTAATTAGTGAAATTTAAAAAAATAACAATCTTTAATCTCAATTTCTGGTTGTACTGTATAATTGTTCGCCGTTATGATTCAAACAGCTTCTGGGTCTGGGTTCAGTTGACTCCAATGTAGTTACACATGTAACTGTAACTTCATCAAAATACTAAAAATACATTTATGATGAAACTAAATAATGCATCTTTGAATACATCTTCACGATTACCCCTTTAGATGTTGATTCAAAATTTGCACGTGTATGTTAATGCATATATATATATCGGTATATGGTCTCTGGTTAATGCAACCTTTCAGTAGCACCGTGGGTGTGCTGCAAACACAAAATAGCACAACAAATTTCCAAGAAATCTTAATGTTCATCAGAATACAATATAAACTCGCTGGTGATTGTATCCTCAGCAGGATAACACTCATGACATGCCTCGGCCGGTCGTCTGCGTGTGGTGTCATGTTAATAAAACCACATTCTGTTGATGCTTCTCGTGGCAGGACCGGTTGAAGGAGCACAACGTCCAGCGATGCGTTCAATTTTGTGACCGTGACTCGAGCAGGTACGCCTTACTTGTAGACAGGGATAACTTCTGAGGTTCAATTTAAATATTCATTGGTCTACAGGTGTCCAAGAGAAAGTTTTAACGACGCCTGTGTTACTCAACATCGACAGTTGGGAACGGAAGTCTAACAATTCATCATTACAATTTGACTGGCTCAGCTCCAGGATGCGATACACCGTTTGCGATTACTGTGCAAATGCAGAGACGTGAAGTCACGTTGCTGCAAGGTGATGCCGTAACTGTGCTACATATGAAGTGGTGTGAAAGCTATTGAAAAAACCCCATAATATTTGACATGTGTAGTTTAAATGTTTTAATATAACAAAATTATTGCCAAAACCCAAACCTGGTTACAGGAACAAATCCACAAGCAATGTCAATATCAGATGTGACAACCCTTTACGTTGATACATGCGTCTTTTCGTTAGTACTTACATTTAAAACAAAACGGTAAGCACCACCTTCTTCAGAGTTGCAAAAGATGCCATTTAAACATTGATATGTCAACCATCCCACGACTTGTATGAGTGTGTTCTACGTGTTGCAGGATGCACGTGGTGATCAAAGTGAGGCACACTCAGAATTGTACTTTCACCAGTTGGTTTGGTACAGACTACATCTTTATCATAACATATTGCGTGATGCACAATATAGTCCCATGGCACCCCGAGGAGTTTTGTTGGTGAACGATGGGCATTACTGGCGACCATGTGGATTCTTACACCGTTATCAAGCTAAAAGTGTCGCTTCATTTTTGACTCGCCAAATTCTAGATTACCGAGCAAACGATAAGTGAATGGATAGCCCCCAAACAACTATCTGCAGATGAGGAACCCTCTCAAAGCGGCAGGTTACGATGCAAGTGCAGTTTCTTACTGCATGTTGTAGATGGACGGTACGAAGTTGTAGTTATATGCAATAAACGCCCCAAATCGTAAAGAAACTGCATTGTGAACATAGATTTGTCGTAAATGGTACCATACTACTGTAAATTGGATCAGGTCAGATTATGTGGTACCCCAAGTGGAAAATCGTATCAATGGGATATTGTTGATCAAGTTGTAATTCCTCTATACACAAACACCGACAAGGCCTGCGTACATGTAAGATAATATCCGACCATAAAGATGATGTGCTGCCATAGAGTTACTTCTGGCAGCCCTGATCCAAATCGCATGAAGCACCAGTAGGACATTCTTGGGCGACCACTATTTGATATTTGTTGGTCGTTTTTTTTTCGTACAATGTATGGAGTGAATAACTCCACATAATGCTTACAACCCTTTTGTCTCTTCTCTTCTGGCGCTTTTGGAGTAGATCTTCAGAAGCAGAAATGCAGATGGGAGAGCACAGTATGGAGATGGGACGTGCACATGCAGTGCTTTTTTCTCCCGTCCTGCATGAGATATTCAGTAGATGAATCTTGGAAGAAGGCTAACAAGAAAGTCTTGGCACAGGAGATGATGAATATACTGTCAAACCTTATCTGAGACGACGGCAGATCATTCCGTGCCCAGACGTCCACTGACCAAGAGGCCTTAAGTGCAGGCATAGCACCAGAAGATATCGGTCTCGGGAGCATCGGGTTTCGTCAATATCAGACAGTGACTTCACAGATGCAGTCATCTCGACTACCAAGTCAACTGACCAATATTCGTATATAGGGAGTGAATATTAATGGCGATTGAGAAGAAAGTGAAATGTCACCTTTTGTACAACACAGTGGCCATAGTTGCCTGTGAGGCGCTAGAAGGTTAACAGTCAAATGACTCATCCCCATCGGGACCGATTTACTGCTGGGTGAACAGAGGAAATTTTGAACAAACTCGCTTGCCTAGTGTGAGACCACATGTGCCACGTGTGCTTCGTTGTGGGGCAGGAGTAAAGCTGACAAACACAGTCATCCATAGAGAATACTACACGAGGTCTCATTACATACGTATTATACGAAACGAGTGTCCTTCCTATGGT